TCAAGTCCTTTTTCACACTATTTGAAACGCGACCGGGAAGGCGTGCCCTTTGCGAATCCCGGGCGTTAACTTCATGTTGACGGGCGGCTATGAAAAAATACAAGGCCTAGCTTGGGGCGCACGAGGGCTGGAGCACATGCGGACGGCCGTCAGCAGCTTCTGGAGCAAGACTATGGCGCAGCTTGATGCCGTGTCGGACTGCGCTTTGCCTGCGCCAGACGAGTTGGAAGAATGGATGGACGACCGCCAGCGAGCCATCGACAGCTGCTTCAAAAACCGCAGCGCCTGGTCAGACCTGGACTGCCGAGTGTGGCAGCACGACTATAGCTTCAAGAGCATTGAAGCCTGGCCGCTGGATGCCTGCGTCGTGCGCTCCGAGTTGCTGGGAAGCCTCGAAGCTGCCTGCTCCTTGGCGGACATCCGCAGCTGGCTCGCAGCGCGCGTCAATGTAGTGGTCACCCTTTGTGGCCGCGAGATGACCGTCCAGAGCGCTCCGCAGGACTAGCGCCAATACTTCGAAGACCTTGGCGCTCGTCATCTCCAAGGACACCTAGAGGACTGGACCGTAAAGCAGCCGCGCAACAGCGCGGACCGGCTCCGGCAGTGTGCTCTGGACTGCTTCACGCATTGGAAGCTTTGGAGGTTGGCCAAAGTTCAAGTCTGCGAGAAGAAAGACATGCAAGTCTTGTTCCATTGCTTTGGCGGCATCAACCGCAGCGCTGGCGCGCTGTGCGCGTGGCTCATTGTAGCCTACGGCTTTTCTGCTGCGAGCGCAATTGCCCTGGCCTTCGTCCATGGCGTCATCGGAGATACGTGCTGTGGGCTCTGTACGCGGTGGAGCAAATTCGAACTTCTTGGCGGTCAGAGTTCGGCAACTGCAAGGACGACCTTGGCGAGCGTGATCTTTGTGACTCCTCCGGGCAGCATAATTAGCTCGTGAGTAGAGACTGAGCGCGCAGGTAGTGATGCACGGTTTGTTGCTGAGTGCAACGAGCAGGCGAATGTTTTGGAAGCTCTGTTGTCTCAGTGGCAGACTGTCTGCAAGTGCGTGACACCCGCCTCGCATGCGACGAGCAACAACAATGCGAGCGAGTCATGAGCGGTCTGGGCTTTTGCCTCTTGCTTGTGGCAGGCGGACAACTCCGGCAGAGCTAGCAACCAGCACTACAAACGCACTTGAGCAACACTACCAGCCCCACTCGGGCGCGACGCACGTTCAAGTCAAAGTCCGCACTGGTGAACACCACGCGCAGCCTCACGCGCAGCATTATATGCCACAGCATGCGCAGCATTGCGCGCCGCGTCACGCGCCGTGCCACGCACACCTTGGCGCGCAGCATGCAGACGAGTGGCCCGGAAGCAACATAGGTGACAGGCGAAGTACTGTAATTCTCGAAAAGTTGGTAAGAGAAGCTGGCAGGTGAAGTAACTTTCGAAAAGTTGGCACGAGAAGCTGGCAGGCGAGTTAATTCTGGAACCCAAGGTGCAGAAAGCAAGCCAAGCCAAACTACTTGAGACATAAGGCGTTGCTGCGCTCTCAACAAGCTGCGAGATGTGCTGCAGGCGCGTGGGCCACAGCTCAATCACAGCTAAGTGCTTCTACCTTGGGTTTTTGCAAGTGTCCTGGAACCTGTTTTTGGCGGGTGAAAAAGAAGGCTTCAGGTCACTTGGCTGAAGCGGGGGTCAGACGCAGCCCTTCCGCAAGACGCATGTACTTGTTCATGTTTGTTTCGAATGGTGTGCTTCATGGGCCATTTGGCTCACTTTCTTGGCATTCATGTCGCTGCTGCTTGTGAGATGCAACCGCATTATTCTTCAATACACGCGAATTTCCCATGCGGACTTGAGCTCTCAAACAGATTTTCGGCCTTCGAAGAACGCCACACTGGCCGGACCCAGCGTGCTGATTTAGTGTGCATCAGCCGCGCCCGAAACTTTGCTGTGAACGCTGCTGGGTAGGATGTTCAAGTTGGGCTCATGCAGCGGACGGCCCGGGGCTGTGCCAGCGCGCCATTTCACAATAGGACCCTGCGCGCAGTTGTGCGTGCGCCAAGCCAAGGGAGGTCCCACCGTTGAGCATCCCGCGGTGCAGGGCCCGGCGCGCCGAATCCCGCAGTTGAGTGTGCCGGGTCACAACCGCAACCACAACCACAGCCACCACCACAACCACAACCACCACCACAACCGCCACCACAACCACCACCACAATCACCACCACAACCACCACCACAACCACCACTACAACCACAACAGCCACAAGAACCACGACAACCACAACAAGCACAGCAACCAAGACAACAAAGACAACAAAGACAACAAGGACAACAAAGGCAACAACGGCAACAAAGACAACAAGGACAACAAAGACAACAAAGACAACAAAGACAACAACAGCAGCAGCCAGCCAGCCAGCCAGCCAGGCAGGCAGGCAGGCAACCAGGCAGCCACACAGCCAGGCAGCCAGGCAGCCAGGCAGCCAGGCAGCCAGGCAGCCAGGCAG